TGATTTTTATCCGGCATTGAAAATGTGCACACTAGATAGCAAAGGCTGTATATAACGAGGGCGATTTCATAATGGAAACTTATTAAAAATGTATCTGTTTGAATTTAATGTAAAAGAAACGACATTACTTTCCAGTCTCCCTAATATAACGGATGTCACTGTAGATCATTTTCTCGATTAAAGTTATGTTGATAAACACTTCCAATGGCAAAGTATTATTGTAGCCTGTCATATATTAAAACAAAGTGAAGATAAAAATTACAAAATATGTTTTCGAATATCAATGTTGTAAATATGTAGTGTATAAAATAAAAAGATTTTCGTAACCAGGAATAGTATTTGAAGTGACGTGAATCCATGTCAGCGGTCGCGAATGTGTTAAAAGAAGTAATAATTGATAGCGTAGCGCGTGTATATAATAATAAACACAAATTTAACTTCGTCATCCGTGGACAGCGTTGAAGTAATATTTTAATAAGCTGATGTTATTACCTAAAAGAATATATAAAATATCATTTGAGAAGAAAGCGAAATGTGGTAAATAATACATTCTTTATATGTTATAATATCAAAAATACGTGACCATTTATATTAGGTGGTTGAAACAAGATGCGTAGAATAAATCATGATTAATTCAAATCTAACTGTGTGCATGCATATTTTAATATGAGAATATTTATCAGTGAGTAGATATTTTCCTTCCTACTATGATTTCCTCTTACCTGCATAGATTAATCCAAATGAACATTTATTCCGTCTCACAGTGACACTGAGTTTAGATTGGAACGTCGACAATAGTATTATGCTTTCAACTTTAATTAACTGGTAGAAACAAAACGGTTGACTGCAATTGGACAGAACTTGCGTATCGCGATTATAAATTCTGCAGGGATCCTTTGACGAGAACAAATTTTATCCTTCTGTGACAATGCGCATTATGATATTAACCCAATGCACTGGTATCGCCAATATAAATATCGTTATTCCAATTTAGTCATTCGCTCTCAAAGGAAGGAGTATTGGATCAAGTATGGAATTATTGTTATCGTTTTATCGTGTTAAAATTTATCATTAAAAACTCTGAGGACTTTGTAGAAACAACTGTCAAAGTTGCCAATCACAATAAACGTAACGAGTTATTTATCCTTTTCTGTTTAAACTTTTTTAATCTACATATTTCAAAACTTACAGTAGTCCCATTGGATTCGGTCATAGGTCATTTTTGCTCCTGGAGTGCAAATGCATCAGATGACACCGGGTAGTGTCGGCTACCATAATTAGGTGGCTGAAACAATTAGCACGTTAACATTGGCCGCGGTCGCGCCTACTGTGCCAACAAACGGATCTCTGTAAAGGGCTCTCTCTCGTTGACACGTGTGTACGTATCGCGTGTCAGTGTTCCTCAACCATTTTGACCTTAGACTCATATGTTTCATTCGTGATTTACCATCAGTTGACGAAAACAATAATACGCTGAAATCGAATACAGAGAGCTAAATTAAATGTAATAGTTTAAGTTTTCTTTTCTTGGCTATAAAGCAATGCTTATATTGACTATACATAACTAATATAAAAAGAAAAAAAATTTACTAAAGAGGACTCATAACGAAATATCGCAAACTTTAAGTGTACTTTGTGTGAATAATGAATGCTCGATGATGAAACCTGTGAGAAGTGTTTACTCTTACATCCGCATGATCCAAGACTTATTTTCTTTACATCATTTATCTGTCCCCCATAAACCTATCAAGGCTCGATAGATTGCGATATGGTACTCTCTGAAAACCTCTCCGACTACGTGTACACAGGAGGCAGACACGCGAGTGGACAATTAAACGCGAGTAGCTCTGCGCGAGTACACGACATCATAGTCGATATTGCGTGCCGACACGAAATAGTTTCGAGCATCTGATTGTGTCGCAACTCGTTTCCCCCGAACATATTCTCGGGCAGCGCGTTTGAAGGGCAAAATAGAGTTTAATTAAACGACAGCGCGGACGATCTCGTGGATTTAGCGCGACCAGAGTGCTCCTGATACGTTCAATTTCCATCCAAACTAATCCAAACCTTCGAAATTGGCTCGGAGAGTAGAGTTATTTACGTTTCTAGTTGGATCTCCGATTACAGTGGCAGCGGAAATTTTAATGAACATTGGTATTTATTAACCACTAGCCGGACGTTGACGAGTTAATTTACAGTCTGGTCGTCAAATCACTATGATCGAATGGCAAAATTGCGTATTTGGGATTTTGATCGGATCACGATTTGAATAATAAGAAAGTAAATTTAGGATTTTGGTCTTCGATACGTATAGGAGTGGTTGAAGAAACTATACTACTTCATGAAAATATAGTTTGTTGGATGAGTGGGAGTATTGCAAGTTTGATAGATAGATATTAGTATTTTATTGAGGTAGAGTGTATGGTAATACAAGTGATTGTTATTGCTCACGAAAGAATTAAAGCAAAAATATTGATACTTTTAAAATGCTGGAATTTCTGTGACTAGTGCATTTTACGTCGTCTCATTTTATGTGCATATCTACTTCTGTTATTGTTTCTGAATTTTAGTGGTGCTTTAGTAAATAAAATAGAAAAATACATGCAGATATATACGCATAAATAGACAATGTAAGTATATTTGCATAAAACATGACGACTAATAAATACCAATTATTCTGATGTCATACTCACTAGAACCAAATACCCTTGACCGAGGAAAAAATACCACAATTACGTATGCGGAATAGAAATTCTTAAAAAAGTCTCTGTTTCTTGCGAGCGTACGATAGTAGCCCCTCAAATCGTACTTTCCATCTCCAAATACGTCGAGTAAATCAGTTGGCCTCGACAGCAAATGCACGACGCTTTCATCGAATCCTGACAGCGTCGAGTACTCCATCATCAAGGATCCCGCTATCTCGAGCAATTGTCAAGGATGCCAGAAATACTTCCTCGGTTTTCCCCGTAGCCGATAATGTCACGAGGCTTGTATCACTCGTTGCGACACCGCTAATCGTACCTGCCATCACGAGCTCAATTCCGTCGCATACCCGCGGAGGACCGTTAGGTATCCTTGAAGTGAAAATCCGTTCCACTCTCATTAACCGCGACCGCGGCCGGCGATTCCAAACTGGAAAAATGGAGTCAGACGGTCGACTATCTCTTATCCAGCGCGCCGTACTTGACAGTGAACCTACTATGAATGCATAATTGCGTCTCGTTGCTGCGGCACGCGCCATTGTTGTCCAGCTCGTTTTGTCGATCGTGGAATTGTTCGTTTTGTCCTCGCGTGGGCGTCTGCCACGATGTCCACAGATGTTGGCTGCATCGTTCTTTTCCTTTGGACGTTATAATAAAGAGCAGGGAATGTTTGGCGAAATGGAGTCCAAAAGAAGCGTAGATTCTCATTTAATGAGATTCTAAAATATGGACTGAGGAATTATTAGTTTTCTGGGATTCAAATTGGATATGAATGTTATGAATATTTGGTTAGTAGTAGGCTTATTCGAAAGTACCATGAAGCACCTTTTTTTTATGAATAATTTCAGAAACGAAAAGACTACGAATTTTATATAATTATTAAATTATATACTATATATCATAATTTATACATGTAAATTCATTTTCAAAGATTGTTATTCCAATAAAACAATATTCTCCTCAAAAAAAGGAAAAACATTCATAGAATATTCATAATAGGTCATCAAGAATTTCTAGAACAAATAAACCATCATCTTATCATTTAAAAAGCATAAATTCCCTTTAAAAGTCCCTGTCATCCTCAGATTTTAAAAATAATTCATAATCCAAACACCTCCAAAAATAAAAATCTGCAAGTGTACCTATTTCTACCTTTACCAATCCCTTTGGTCGATTTACATAGCTGGTATTAAATAAACCACGCATGTCTATGTTACGTTTATAGTAATATTTGGTTTGAATACGACTGTATTCGAATTCTTTTCCTCCGTCTTCGCGAACCGCTCGTTTCTGCAGCGGGGTGCGCGCTGAAATATTCATGAGCGGGATGCGAGCGGGATCCGGTCGAGAGTTGTCTAAGCGCGTTCAGCTGCAAATCGTGTGCAGTTGCAAAATTATCCGCACGTGCCTTTTTGTGTAGGAGCGCCGTTAGCCCACGATTGGCTGGAAGCCGATTCGCGACGTATCGAGCGCCCGCTTTGCTCGGAATTTCGCATGGAGTTCTGTGATGGCGAACCGTGAAAGCTTGGAGAACGGTTTGAAAGCAATTAGCAATACTCATGCTTCTGTAATTATGAAAATAATCGAAATCCTGGTAACGATACATGTTCGAATACCCGCTTTTGGTTATTGTTGGAGAATTACTATGAAGTGGAGGATTTGCTTTGTTGGAGAGATATTCTGGTTTGGATTGGTGCACGAAGTGGTGAGGGAATGCTTGGAGTGGTTTGAATTGTGCGTGAGTTGCATCTTTTTTCTTCAAAATGACCGCTTCAGGTTCGATGTTGTTATAAGTCGTGTTTTTTATTTATAAAAATAGGAATTTGTACATTTTGAGATGAACTGTTAGGTGCTATTTCCTTTCTCTGTCATTCACGTGTCATTGTATGTACTAGATACCTCGTGGTGATACCAGTAAATACTAGTTAATGAGCATATGACAAGACAATAAAAATCAGTATGCATTGAATGTTTATTCATTAAAAAAAAAAAAAAAAAAAAAATAGCGATTTCTCTAACAGCTGACGTCAATGCAAACAAAGCTGGGAATAATTCCATCTAACGGTACCATGACAGCCAAGAGTTAAAACAATAGTCAACTACGTTAATTTTTCAGTTCTTGCATCATTATCTCTAATACTTGCAGCTTCGTCGATTATTCAAGGTAAGTCGCAAACAATCGATTCGATGTAAGAGTCAAATACTAAAAATTCCTGTTACTCCTAGGAGCTGGTTGAATATTTCAGCAACCCCCAAACCTATCAAAGGCTTTCGAAAAAGGTCTTTTCACAGATGAAATTTGTTATAAGGGTATAATATCGTTTATTGGTACAGTCACACGGTTACATAATTAAATGATACATGTTTCGGGATACATTGGCAATACAAATAGAAGGGAAGTAAAACGTCGTTATTGTAGTCCTGAGGCGGGCATGAGGTATATCATACAACATTGAGACTTGCTTCTACTCGATTGCCAAGCACTTTAACCAGCAATAATCGCTGAGGAAGAGGCGCCAATGACCGTTGTTTTCGCCACTGGGCCAGCTACGACCGCAGAGGTCGCTGGACCTGCAACGACCGCCGAGCCAGCGTGTCCTGCGACGACCGCAGTCGCTACTGGTCCGGTAACGACTGCACCTGCAGGTGCAGCTAGTACTGCGGGAGAAACGACTCCTCCCCCTGAAAAATTAATTATTTAGTAATATTACTCATTTGAATATTTGGTTTTATTTCATTCGACGACTTTGTGAAACGTTCTGACAAAATCAGAGTTCTTCCCATTTCTCGTTTCATTGATTCTTTACATTCTATCTTTTTTTTTTATTATTGAAAAATTAAAACAGTGTAAACAGTACCCACCATTGGATATTAAACCTCTTCTTGCAGAGTGTAACATTAAAGTTCTATTACAAGTGTGCAAATTTTTCGATGAATGTAACCTACAAATTTAATCATTCCCTATGCAATACTTACTTTCTATATTTACTTTACTTTCTTCTTTTACATGAATTTAGCATCACAGAAAATTACTGCAGTTAACAAATTCGCGATCGGCAGAAATATTACGTTTCTAACACCGAGTATCGATAAAAATAATAAAATTCTGAAGTTGGACATCGCAAATTTGTATCGTTATAAAATAAAAAGATTTTCGTAATTTTTTCATAACCAGCAATAGAATTTGAAGTGATGTGAATTCACGCCAATGCAGCGGTCGCGACTATGTTAATATAGAGTTGCCGAAGTAAGTTTATTTGCGTAATATCAATATGGACTTCATTGAACCCTTTAGGGCATTGAGAGAAATTGGAAGGTTTCCGAGTTTGAAGTATAAAAATGTTTGATTCTTACCGACAACAACAGCACCACCAGGTTGACTGACCACAGTAGGTCCAGCTACGGCACCAGTGACCACTGATGGTCCAGCAACGGGTCCAGTGACAACTGATGGTCCAGCAACAGGTCCAGTGACTACTGCTGGTCCAGCAACGGGTCCAGCTACTTTGACGACACCAGTTGCGGGACCAGCAACGACTGTCGGTCCAGCTACCAGTCCAGTTATTACTGGGCTTACCAAGCCTGGAACCAAAAGTCCGCTAGGGGCTGCTGAGCAGACCGACGCGATCGCTGCGAGAAAAGCCTGGCGAACATAATGAGTCTTAGGAAATGAAGAAAGGAAGAACGAAGTACTTTATTCCTGTATTTTGCTTGGTTGTTCATAATAATTGTGGTTAAAACAGAATTTCTTCAGTCGAGACTAAAGTATGTATATTACAGAATAAAAGAAAGTAGTTGAAGAAGCTTGTCAAGGATGTTTGGAAGCGCCATGATAATTCTATACCCAAAATCGGTTTGAAAACGTGCAACAACATTTTTTCGTACAGTCCACCGTTTCTGATGAAATCAATATCGAATCAATATCGAACTCAACTAGAGCGCGCTACCCATTATACTTTTAAAAGCAATCTTCATGAAAGCGAGACCCTTTAAGAAAAAATTGCATTCTTCTTTTTCGATCAATTTTTACTTCCATAATCGCCACCACTTAGCTTCTAACACTTGGTACCTATAATTCTGTGTATATCACGCACACAAGTGTTACTTTCGACGACTATTACAAAGTACTCAAAGTTAAACACCTTAAATACAAGTTTCATAAACTCTACGAAATGAGAGAAAATGGTTCCAGAATCTTACCAAGAACATCATGGTTGCTGGTTTCTTTCGTTGACTGTACTGTCACTGTAGTATCAAGCTGATAGTGGAACTGCCAATTAACCCTGTGACATCAGCTTTTATACCCCGCAACGACCCTGAATCCCGACTCTCACTCTCCAACCTATTTTTCCATAAGAGAAATGTCACGCATTTAATTGTTGTTCACGACCCATTTCCATACGGAAGAATTTCTCTGATTAGTATCGCGGGAGTGCTATTGCTCGCCACGCCGAAAGAGCGACCCCTAGTGTCTTCCGTAGCTCACAGTCGTGGGGTGGATTAATTAGAGATTCAGCTGCACGCCAAGTATCACGGAACTCGCGGTGATCACGAAACTCGATTAGGCGAAACGCTGTAAATTTGGGTTACACGGGCGCGAGGACGTCACTCGTGATCTCGGCGTTGACAGGATTCGCCTCCCCAGTCTCTGGAGGACTATTCGACTTGGGGATTCGCGGTACTTGTTGCTCGATAGCTTGATTGCGTCTGTGCGAGCATTGCTTCAGAATGGATATACGCGAGGATGTGCTCAAATTCCCGTGGATCAGCAATTCCGCAGCCGTGTGTTCTTGCGCGAGAGTATCGAGAAACGGTATACTAACGAATCGCGCTGTTAGGTGGAATTGTTAATTGGTGGCTAATGAGTCGTCGAATTGCAGGCCATCTGTATCAACAGCGTATGGTGTTTGGATAGAGTTTGATGGAACTACCGATTGAGGTCATCGCAGGTTAACTTTGGTAAACAAATAATAATCAATGTTTCCTGGCTGGATGGCACGTAACAGGTAATATTATTGCAATCTTGAATGATTATCAAGTAAAAGGTAGCCTGATAATTTGCTTGAAATTTTCCAAGCTTTGGAAATTTAATATTTTAAATGCGTATGGAATATCCATTCCAAAATTGTCTTTCTCTTTCTATTTATCACTGTAATATCATAACTCTATTTTAGTTAATGTACAATGGTGGGAATAATTATAGCCTTGGAAATTTGATACTTTAAGTAGAAATGCAAAATATAATATTCAATTGATTTGCTGCTTTGCTTAATCTGCTTTGATTTCCAATATGGGGATTTAATATAAATTGTTTCTGATATACAGATAATTCTTATATTTGCTGTCATTATTTATAGTTGATCTATAAATAGGTATCTTGACTACAGGGTATTTACTTGATGAAATTTAATCCTATCATGAAACTACCCCTAGCTTCTCCCAATTAAATACAAGTTTAAGATCACTAGCTTTGAAGTTTGGGTAGTTGTTTGTAATACGAGGAATAAAGTTGTTGAATGAATATATAAAATAAATAATCCAACGTTTCCAAGATATTAAATACCAGTGGAATATCGTGGGTTGCAGGGTAAATATTGCGTCATTTTGTAAGTCTGCTTATTTCACTCTGCAGTCTTCCGATGCGATGTAAACATACATAATATATATTACGTAGTATCAGTTGTTTGCATTCAGACTTTCTGTAATCGTTCAAGAGAATTCAAACGTGAGGAAAATGTTTTGTGGTTAAAAATGAATCTAAAGAATATACGTAAAATTGTGCAGAGAGGAAAACCGTGTTCACAACTGTAAAAGATATAAAATACTTAACAATATTTTATGGTAAATTTATTGAGATAATTGCTCCTCTACCTCGGCGATTCCAAAATAATCAAAACTGAAGTTAGATGGTTCTTCAGTTACATAAAACATAAAACCACATAAAATCAGTAAAAGTTTATAAATATGATAGAATTAAATAATAATGATCGAAAACAAGGTTTAATTTTCCTCTTTATTTTTATTTATCCTTGAAATTTACTTAAAGACTCAAAAATGCAAATATTTAGGAAATAACATAAAAGACTGCTAAAAAATGGTAACGGTTAAAGCCTTCCATAACCTTCTTCGTCACTTGAATTTCATATTTCACGAATGGTCGCAGGATTCACGTGTCTGGTTTCTCCCCGACAATGAGGGTTTCAACTGCTTCGCGCATAAACTGTCCGATTTAACGACCTGGTGGTACTTGTTGCTTCTCGCCTATTCTCCACAAACGACGGGGGTGCTCTTGCGATGGTGATTCGCATAAACTTGCCGCAATAATTTCCTCTGAGAAGGAACATCCACAAAGTGTATTTCTCCAATTTATTTCGATGGATTTTTTCTGGTTTACAAATTAATGCAAATTATTTTTCAGTAGCTTACCGGTCGAATTTAAAATGTAAAATTGCACTTTGAAGTTTCATCCCCTAGTTGAACCTAGAAAACTATTACAGACAGGGAAAAGTGTAATAAAAATTCTTGTTAGTTTGTCATGGAAAATAATACGCTATATACATCAGTCAAAGAAACCATTAAGAACGTTAAATAAATTAGATTCACCACCCTTGTTATCAAAATGTTTTAAAAGTGATATATGGTGAAGTACTTTCATTTAAATTTTCTCCCAAAATAAATCAAATTGCTTCTGTGGTACGTCTCATTCATGATGTGCACAATAATAACATTCCGGTGGAAAATTTAAACGTCACGTGATATATCTTGGGTGTTGGATTTGGCAACGAGAGGGTTGTGATTGAAAACTGAGTGTAAAGGAACACAAGGGCGATATAGTCGAGGATCGAGAGGATCCGAGAACCGAGCTGGAGGGGAAATGCTCGGATATCAGTGAGATCCGGTGTCGTCGCTCCTCTGATAGAGAGAATACTCGGCTGATTGGAGCGGCGTTGGAGCAATTTCCTTCAATTATCGGAAAGGTGGACAGGTATCGTCCCACGGTTTCTCCCGACGCCGACAACCGACGGTACAATGGACCGCGAAATACATAACGGCCACGTCAGTGTCGACGGCCTTCGAGACGTATACTTTCTTTCAGCAGAACAATGGACTCTATTCGATTAGAATTTCATCGTAAACGTGGACGCAGGGTCCGAGGTGTCCTTGCTTAGGCGCGTCGAGTGAGAAGTTGCGCACATCTTCGAGATATTTGGGAAGACATTCGATACTTGTCTTCAACTTGAGTATATTGTAGGAACCTTTTAATCTTACTAAGAATAAATAATGCAATCACACATTTATAATATCACGTCTGACTTTGCTCACGACTGTTTTTACCATTCACACTCGGAAACAATCACACAACATCCATGCACTCACGACGCTACTCGCAAAAAGGCTCTTACGATACTTAATTTTATTCTACCGCCTTCATTAATGGTCAACGAAAGTAACTCACATTTTTAAAATAAGAAACGACTCATTTTTAAGAATGTTCATTTGTTACTCGATAACTAAGAGACAAGTGAATGAAATTCTCTCCAAAAGTGGCATGCGTTTATTATTACATAAAATAAGATACATGAGGTATTGTTATGTACACAGAATACATATAAAAGATACAGTGATGGGAGGTACTAGAGGTAAATGACGGAGATCGTGGCGTGGTCGGTCTCAAAATGACGGGCATCGGGGAGATCAGTCGAAGATGTCGTTGGGAATGGTTGTCCGGCTGAAGGATTACCAGTGTGGGCCAGCACTGACTAGTCCTCCTACTCCTGCTGGTCCAGCTGATATGCTACCAGATGGTCCAGCGATGATCGCTGGTGCAGCAACGGGGCCAGCAAGGGCTGCTGGGAGCGACGTTGGGCCAGCCAACACTGCGCCTGAAAACAATTACACATCTAACAATGGCATAAATTTTCCACCCTTTTTAACGTAAACTGACAATTGCAATTTCTCTATATTTATTTTTCTTCTCTATACCTTATAATTCTTTCAATTTTCATTGTACCGATATGTATCTCATTGGCTTTTATTTTTGCGATGCTAATGCATATAAAAATTTTTTGTGTGGCTCATGAAATTTTGTTTCACACATTATTACATTTATGTCATTTAGTTGGTGCAACTTGTTTTCAGTTTTTATGGCCTACATGTACACTATTGTACTTTGAAATGGCAACCGGTAATAAACCGAGGCATTTCAGACAATTAACGAGCGTGGAGTGTCGCGTTCAAGATCTCGTTTACCCGGAAGAGCGATAAAAATCAGAGTCCTTGGCGTGGTCAGATTTATCGGTCATTGTGGAGATCAAGTCCGTACAGTGAGTGCAAAGATTAGATACGGTCGTGTTCTGTTAAGAATAGATGCCTTTAGTGTGCCTAATCAACGTAACTGGCTATCGTAAATATTGGAAAATACACGATGAAATTCACGGTAGCTAAATCTGACAAGATAAATATAATAAAAGTGTCTCATTCAAGGAGCATGAAGTCTCAGGGTATTAACTCTTTGCACTCGGATGTTAGAATTGAACATATTCAATATATATTACAATATATGTAATACATCATGAAACATATTGTCAGTGTCAACGCTTCAAGGAAGCTATACAAATTTATAATCAAGTTTAATAATACCAAAAAAGAAACGTTTCCAAAGTTCGACTATTTAATGCATTGTGATTCCCATTTTGCAATGAGATGGCGCAGAGTGCAAAGGGTTAAAAATGAAATAAAAAGAGCTTAGTCCAAGAAGATGGGCGTGCTAAAAGTGTGCTACAACGAACGAATATGATGATACGAGAGTCAACATACCCCAAGGAGACCAGGCTGGAGCAGCAGCAGCGCCCCAATGAGCTGCGCCCCAAGGAGCAGCGGCCCAGGGAGCAGCACCCCATGGACCAGTGATAGCAGCTCCTCCGGATACGCTACCAGAGACTAAAGAAGGTCCGGCAACGGCTCCAGTCACGATAGCGCCTCCATCAACAGCTCCAGAGAGGCGAGCAGGTCCAGTGGCGGGTCCAGCGAGCGCAGCGGGTCCTGCGATAGGGCCACTAAGGGCCGCAGGGCCCACGTGGGGCCCAGCAAGCGCGGCTCCAGGCGCCAGCAGGGATGGCGCTGCTATCGCCACGGACATGGCCGCCATGAAGAAGACTGCTACCGAGTTGCACATGTTGAGAGGTGAGTCGAAGGGGTTTCTCTGTTATGCTTCCAGACGAGTTTGCCTCGATGGTTGGAGTGGATGTGCTGCCATCGAACGGCTTCGGTGGCGCTTTTATAGGGGCATTGGCTGTTGTCTTGGATCTTTGCTGCTCCCGCCAACCCCAAGGGCGGGGCACAGGACACGCCAAACATTCTCTGCGGGCTGGGCGCGTGGCCGTTTCATGGCTTATCAGCATTATGTCAGACATCGAGCTGGCGACACGCGGACAACGATCAACGCCTCGGCAGCGTGCTCGTGGCGCAGGGGTCACGTGCTCTAGTTCAACTGTTGCATCCGTTTCCAGCGCTTTTTACGATTGCTTCTAACCTTGCTGGGATACGTACCCTTTCAACCAGAAAGAAAGATCGTTCAAGCGAAAGAGATCGGTTGCAGAATAGAATTCCGAGTGGGACTTTTCGTCTGGCTACTGGGCTTTGGTAGCTTTCTTTTCGTTAAGAGTTTATGAAAATAGAAAAAGAGCACATGTGTCACGTGGTATGTGAGAATATTTTAATTGCCATCTTTGATAATTCATGTATTTGTTCTTCGAGTGTGGGGTCAGTTTAAATTAGGGATGCAGTGATAAGTATTCGGTGCGCTGTTTTTTTGCCCGTTTTGTCAATTTTCTTTTTCATTTATACATTATACGATCTCAAAGGGCGTCCATTTTAATTAATTAAAGCACCAAAATCGTGTCTTCTTCCTTCTGCTTTGGGAGAATAAACGAGGTAAAATTGATAAAGGAATCCTGTATCTATTACATGGTTTTATCAAGCGAGCACAGCAGAACTAATTTAATTAGCAACGTGTCGTTTGGACCATGAATTTATTAGGCCCTTTCCAATATCAAGTGAAAGAATAAATTTTATGAAATAGAAACTTTCATACATATCGATCTTGGTGAGGAAATTTGCAAAATTATTATCCAGATGATTGATGCTATTATCCAGCTTTTCGTTAAATAAAAATTATAATCAGAAATAGAGAAAATGAAATGAGATATTTCAAAATGAACAAGCAGAAATGTCTCTATGTAACAAATCTGAACGATTCTCCTCTGTACTCTGTCTACATCCACCCTTCTTTAAAATTATTTTTTTAATTATATTCGTTTCAATCAACGATTCAAACGTGCAGTTATGAAATAAAAATATCAAACAACAGTAAATACAACACATAAAATAGATATTCACACATTCGCAACCGCTGACGTGAATTCTCGTCTCTTCGAATCTATTCCTGGCTATGAAAAAATTATGAATACCTTTTTATTTAATATACTACATATTTACAACATTGATACTTTAAAACATATATTGTAATTTTTATCTTCGCCTGTAAAATATCTGCCGGTCGCGGATGTCAAAATAAATATCCAAATCGATACATGTATTATTCGATAATGTTCTCAATCCCTGTCGAAGGAATGTCTTGGCACAGCATGTCCCGTTTATGTTTTCATATTCCATCCGCGGAAGAGGACAGAGAATCATGGTCATTACAAAGGCACCAGTTATCTCGACCTTCGTAAGTCAAGAAGACCAGGTGCACGTCTCGTCCCTGTCTCGTCTATTTTCGCGACGAGGAGACCCTGATTTAGGTGAGTACGCGTCGGCAGTCAGGCCATTACGTTGTTGCATCGTGCATCCGTTTAGGCGAGGCACGGGTTGCGTTGCCCACGCGTCGAAGTCTCCGATTGTCGCCTGGAATGACGGTGTCATTGTAGTCGGGTACGCGTGTGTTACGGTGGCACCAGCCTCGCAATGGATCACCGACCGTGCCACGGATCGTTTGGAATATCATTGCTGGGCGTTGCGTGCACTTTCGAAGGTGACAAAGGTGACCAGCGACGCGATTGTTTGAATAATTGTTTCACGGGCCCCGTGAAATATTTCAGGGGGGGGGGGGCGACTTTAATGCCACGCCTCATTTAGGAGAGCAAGAATTCCTTCCCTTGTATCCACGGAGGCGTGAAAAACGCCATGGGTCTTAAAAAGAATTTTCTAGGATCGCAAGTAACGCTCGATGGTCTGGGAATTGAAAAATGAAAGGCTTTGGTTATAAATGCTGATCGGAGGGTATGAATGTTTAGCATTGAATGTTTCGTTTTTTAACTTCTTTTGTGACTTTTTTTAATACTCCTCCACAATGAAATTTAATATGAATTTAAAGAATTAATTAAGTAAAAGTAAATGTAAATGTAAAAGTTTTGCTGTATTTGAAAGACGATTGCTCACTTGTGTCTTTAATCATCTCTACAAACAGTTTCAACATTCAAATTATCAACAACACGAAGGCAAGAAAAGAAAATGAAGAATGGCTTTGTGCAAAGCGAATAGCGAGTCCTTTGTAAATTTAAAGGACGGTTCATCCCGACATTTTATCAAAAAGAAACCACCGAGTATGAAATGTTTACTAAAAATAATTGAAAACATGTTTATATCAAACTGTAGCATTGTATTAAATTGGTTTTACTACATCTATGTCACGATGGGAGTCGCGCGGATGGCAATGCACATATTTCGAAGTCGTACATTTGAATAAAAAGCAGTGGAACGCCGGATATGTCAGTCAGTGAAAATATATACGGAATGCCAGTGTTTTATTTCCGGAAATAATGCGAATCGTTGAATACTGTATCTCGTGGGCCATTACAAAGCCCGAAACATTGCAAAAGCGGATTACGAAAGCCGTTTAGGACCGCGGATTGCACCCATTCGTTGATTGTTACCGAGTCCATCGTTTTCCACGATGTTTTATTTTTATCAAAATTTGTCGAAACTGTCGTTGCAAATTCGATTGCCTCTCTTGGAACAATACTGGCCCTCCATTTCTAGCTTACTGGGAATTCATCAAAAGCTCCAGTTAACGCGAAAATAACCGAATTTTGTTCCAAAATAACAAATTCAGGGAAAAATATAACTGTAATCGTTTGGTATTGAAGATGAGTCGTGACATGAATTGTTAGTAAAATACCAGGCTGTTGTTTATTGGTTTTTCGTTGCATGATGGAAAAGTTGTGATTCTGGTCGATGGAAGGGAAATTTTGATTTCATGGGTTCAAAAATTGCAATAAATTAATTAATGCAACAATTGCAGCTGATGCGAAGTTTTACTTTCGAAAGCTATTTAAAATATTCACAGCAGAGGGATTCAACATTCTGAATGAATTGAATAGTATTACGAAAGAAATATGAAAGAGTATAAAGATTAATATTAAAAAATATAATGAATTATATATTTATTCACATTTAAAAGTGTATGAATTGAGATGCCCAAAACTGTTCCCAAATTCTCATTAAACATGCAACTTAAAACATGGTCAATCTTCTTATCATTATCCTACACTAGATCTACAATTTTCCCAGAAGAAGGCTATAATACTAACATCAAAATTATTTTTAAATCTAACAAATCCATTTATATTAACCCTCTAAGGACAGAATTAAAAATATTATACTCAACACATTTGTATTTTTATAAATTTAAAAATATGCGTATAAATAAAATTATGGGAAGGAAATGTCAACAAGCACTAGGCGCTTAAAAATTAATTTTAAATTTGTGGTTGGCAGTAGTAACCAGTTGCCTTAAAAGGGTTAATCTCTTCAAAGACCAAAGCTCTTTCTTTTGTCCGCTAATAACTGCCCTGAAAAACGAAGCAAATTTTCCTTAAATTCAACAATTTCTACGTCTTGACGTCGTTGTTTCGTTGGAACGAAACGCACCGTACCGGTATCTTTTAATCTGGGCGCGGTCAGCGTCTCCAATTTGATCAAAGGTTGCGTCATGGTGTTTGCATTCTTCTCCCGGAACCATGTGGGGCTTTTTCACCCCGTCACGGTCCAGCAGATTGCGGGAGCAGCCCCGCCCTTACCCCCCGATAAGTTCACCGACCCACGTGTCCCGCGTAAGGCAGCTATAAAAGCTCACTTAGCATCAGCTTGCACAGCAATGTTCCTCTGTGATTGCTGATGGAAAGTCGCTGCTCGGAATCTCGGTGGCCTCCGTTTACGTTTTCCACGGCTGCTACCCGATCGGTTAGGGGAGGGAGCCACCAAGAAGGAACGTGTCCGGGCCGCTGGATCGCCAATTCGAGATTTAATTAGAGTCATCTGCGACCCTACCGATGGCATTCATAGCCGAGGAGATCGCCACGATGGATCTGGACATCCGATCGAGCGCTGACGTCTCGTGGTCGATGGCCACGAGGAATCCTGAGGTAAGATAGAAAATATACTGGTACCAATTCCATACATTCTTGACGTGAACCAAATGAAAGCACGGATCTCAAGTTTAATTGATTCAACAGGGATTGGAACGCTGGCTGGGTTGTTCGGTATGAAAAGTGTTGTCATTTTTGTTACGTATAAGGTTATTAGAATATGTGTATTAATAGATCGCGTGCATTTGAAATTATGGTTGGTTTCTGAGGAATTATTGTCGGATGGTGTCGGTGTGATAATAATGAAGGAATAAAGTGGAAGATAAATTTAAACTTGGAGTAAGAAATTCTGATATGCCACTGATTTCAAATCTTAATTGATATGTATTGAACACTCAGCATTATTTTGGATGTGGTCATTTTGTCACATCTTACTAATAATTTTGTTTTATTAATATTTCTCAGGATCGATATTTCTCAGTGTCGTATCATCTATAAAAAAACTTTAAAGGAATAGAAATGAAATTTAGATCTTCGAAGAACTTTGTACCCACAGAGAAATCTGTAATATTATTGATAAACGAATTATTCTATTTAATTACGAAAATAATACAAATAAAAGAATAGTAAATTAATTATAATAACGGTTATTTCGAGTCTGTCAAATATTGATCTCCATTTTTATACTTGCAAGTTCCTCCACTTATGTTATTGGCATTTCTACTCTTTACAACATATCAAATTTTTACTTCAACCAAAAGTGGGCCAATAAAGTTTATAAACAGAATTGGATCTCGAAATTTCGAGATGGCAATTTCAATCTCGAAGACCGAAAACGTTCTATGACGTTCGTTGAATATGGACCATGAATATTTAGAGGCTG